CATCCCTCCTGCATCTCCATTATCCATCGATGAATTTTATGTTCCTGATGCTACCCTTTCATGACACCTCTTCCATATGAGCCGATGTTTTTCACACCGAATACACCCGGTGTAAGCACTCATCAAAGTAGACATGGTGAGGCAACAACATCATTACTACCCGTGCATGATCATGGAATTGATCTTAATGCTGAATTTATTGGAGCCTTAGATGCAGCAGGACCTGATGTGAGATGTAACCCTCACCGTGGAACTCGAGATCGTCGTCGACAGTGCATTCTCACACCTCATTAGGAGGGACTTCATGACCAGTCCTTGGATTCTGATTCAGAATATGTTATCATATTGTATTATATAACTGTCGACGTTTACTTTTTCTTTGTTGGTTGTTATGACTTTAGACGATGTTGGTGAATGGTTTATTTGGTTTACATGCATGACTCGTTTATATTTTGGCACATTCCTCACATTGTCTGAAACTTAATGTGACATAACATTAATTTAAACTAATAAGACAACATACTCAAAATTAATTTACGATACTGTTTACAATCATAAAATCCTACTCGTGATGAATATTAGCATTGCTTTGTTGAGGACAATGACGTTAATTATGACCTGACTGTCGACATAACCTACATCATTGTCGCGGTTGTGACTCAATCTAATCCATTTCATTTCTAATTCTAGAGGTCTTTGGTCGTCCTTTACCTCGTGCTCTATCTTGATCTGACAACAACTTCCATTTATCATTTTGTAAAATGTTATTTTCATTTTCAAGTGGCCACCAGTGAGATGAGTATGTGTTCACAACATACTGCAAAGTATATACAGGGTTAACATACTGCCAAAAGTTGTTGCTTAGAGTAGTACAAGCAGCCATGACATGTGAACATGGGTATCGGTACACCTGAAATTTGCTACATTCACAAAATCGTCTAGATAAAATCACACTCTACTTATGACCACCTCTTTGTGTCATTGGATTAAAAGTCTCTTCAACCTCGAAATTTGTTCTTTGTATGTCGTAACGATGAACTTGATATGAAGATGCTTCTTCTTGATTTTTTTTCTATAACTTCAATTAATTTACGACAATACCTTTTACCATTGTTTATGTCATTAATTGCACTTTCACCACGCTTCACAAAATACTTAACCAATCTACTGTAGGTTGCTTTGACAAGGGCAGTAATTGAGAGAATTTTTGCCCCTTTTAAAACTTTATTCATTGACTCTGACAAATTAGTTGTCATATGACCATAACGCCGCCCTTCATCATCATAAGCCAAACTCTACTTTTCCTTTGATATGTTGTCAATCTAAGTTTGAACTTCAGGAGAATGCGAACGAAATGTATTAAGCTTCGCTTCAAATCTTTGCTTGCAGAGTGTATATGCTATATTTAAATAAGTTATACAGTTAATGGTGAAAAATAAGTATATCTTCAAAATTAATGTAAAATTTAAATGTTATAAAAAACTTACCTAACTTCATAGCATACTCTTCAAGGTGGAATTTTTGAACCTTCTATTGAAATTACTTGTAATGTGACGAATGCAACAAACATGGTAAGCATTGGGAGGTTGTCAATCAATGTGTGAGTTAGACACAACACCTTTAATACTTTAATGGTGATCAGATATCAAACAAATTTCAATTTTATCAGTCACATTTAGACGGATCATGGCTAAGAACCATTCCCATGCTGATAATATTTCTCCTTCAACAATAGCAAATGTTATAAAAAGCACACTATTATTGCCATCTTTAGTTGTAGCAATTAGTAATGTTTGCTTATACTTACCATACAAAAAGGTACCATCCACCTGTATTATAGGCTTATAAAACTTGAAGGCTTCACGACATTGCCTAAATGACTAAAATAATCAATGAAAGACTCTGAATCTGTTATCCATTACATTACTTCTCACAAAATCCTTGGTCTCAATTTTGTAAATTGATCCTGGAGCATGTAATTGCATATATTCTAACCATCTTAGCAATGTTGCATAAAATTCATCTCAATCACCAAATACTGTCACAATTGCTTTTTGCTTTGCTTTTCATGCTTTTTTGTAAGAAATTGAATACTCAAATTGTCCACTTATTCTCTCTTGGATTAATGAAATGAGAACTAAAGGTTCTTCTTTGACCATACCTATCAATAAAATTAAACAATATGTCTCAGCTAATGATCATTTCAAAATCATTTTAAATAGACAAATAAAAATAATCTCAATTGAGTTCCACATACCGATAATACATGAACAAATAAATTTTGAATCTAACTTTTTGTGATCTTGAGAAATCATAGTATTTACGCAGGTATACGTACCACCTCATCTCGTAATTTTTCACTTAATAGCAGTGTAGTGTGAACTTATGTTCCAAAAAGGTGTTATAAAATCTGTATTAAACTTAACTAATGTTAGTTAAAAATATTTTACAATACAATGTATTATATAAAATTGTACCTATTGATTGTTTTATTTCTTTCAGTGTTTGGATTATTCATCATTGAATCGAAACCATCATCCAAATCAGTATCAGAAGAACTATATAAAGGAATTTCTTCTTCATCTTCATAGTCATCATCGTACTCATCTTCTTCATCTGTACATGCAGTAGAAAATATTTATTAATAAATTATAAAATTTTAAATATCATATAATTCAAATAAATATTATACATTACTTCCTCCAATTGCATACTCTTCTTCATTGTCATTAACATTAATAGTTGAGAGTGATAAATTTAAACATAACGAAGTTTCACCAACAGCAATATCCACATATAACTCAACTAGATTTCTTTGATGTCATTTTTGACAAGCACTTATCATACAATCAATGTCTTCATCATCACATACATCTAAAATTGTTTAGTTTTCACTCCTTCCATCAACTAAAATTCGTAAAATTAATTTAAAAATTACATTACTATTGTACAATCTCAATTTTGAATGTATTTTTTTTTCAGCATCTCAAAAGTAATTTCACGTTATATTTTAATCATCTTTTTATTCACTTCAAATATTATATCCTCATTTTCTTCGTACACTCTTCTATTCCAATATAAAATAACCACAATTTCAATCATCCTGCATATCAAATTAAAAAATACAGCAAAAAAAATTATGAAAATATACCTAAACAAATGCTAACAAAAAACATTACAAAACTATTAAAATACAAAAAAAATTATTTATATTTTCAATAATATTATATTAACATTAAATAATTTAATTTATTAGTACAAATATTTTTAGTTTCATTAATTTATAATAATATTAAAATTATTATTTCAAACTTAATTACAATAATTAAAAAATTAAAATAATAACTTAATAACATTCTAACCTTTAGTTTCAGCTTCTCCGACCTTCTTCAAAATTTTAAGCAACCAATACATTTCGTCCATCTATATATATACATGTAAAATTAGATAAAAACTATCGGATCAAAGATTGTTATTTGTGTTGTCTAGTGGGTAAAAGGATGAATAAGGGAAGTGTCGGCGTCAAAGTTGTCGATACATTGTAAGTGTCGGCGTCAAAGTTGCCGACACAGTGTTAGTGTCGGCATTTTACCTACCGACACATAACTGTCGCCAAAACAGAAGCCGACACACATGTATCAAACTACAATGAGTCGATACATTGGCAGTAATGTCACTGTTTTTTTACAGACACTTTACATTGTTTTGCCTTACCATTTAACGACACTTATACGTCACCCTCGACACCACATTTGTTATGAAACTACCCTATTTGGAGAATTTGATTCTCCTTTAACCTCATCAAGGCAAAAAAGCCGGCGCTTGCTACTTCTAATCAAGTCCAAATAAGATATTAATTTGGGAATATTTTTTTTTTGGTCAAAACTTTGGTGTAAATATAATTGGCTACTAGATCTAATATTCTTTATGGACATGAACTAGTTTCACTTTCCTTATTAGATAAGCTTTATTTGTTTGAGAGAGGGAAAGAGAGATAGTCTTTTAATGCTTAATTTTATTTTGATTTTTGAGATGTAAATATCAATCAATTTAATTTTTAATTTTACAAAAAATATTCTCAAAATTATAAAAAAGAATTTTAATCTTTATTAAATTTATTTTTCATTATTATTTGCACTAAAAATTATTAATAAATAAGATTTAATAAAATTAGAGATTAAAATGTAGATTTTAAAGTTGAAATCAAAATAATTTTAGAAACTAAATTAATAATAAACTCTTGTTAGTATTGATCATATGTTTTGAGTTCAAGTTGAAACCAAGCAATTGAACTCCAAGATATGATTATTTTTGGAGGATGATAATGTATCAAAGACTTGGATTGGAAAGGGTGATCAAGTTGAAAGCTCAAAGATGCTAATCTGTCAAAGATAATCAGATCGAAATGTTTGACAAAATGTTGAAAGGCTGATACATGGAATGTTTTAGATGTTAAATATTGAGAATTGAAGTGTTGTATTGCTAGTTATTATTATTTGAAATAACAAAAGTCCGAATTTTAGATAAGGAATTATTAAGTAATGCTTAGGTGTCAAAATTCAGTAATTTCAGCAGTTCTATAAGTGTAACTTGTGCATGTATTCAAACGATATACAGGGATAATGCAAAGTATCATGAAGAATAATACTCTTACTTGGAACAGAGTAAATATATGCCTGTAAAATAAGTGTAAAATTAAAAATGAGGATGGAGTGGGAAACTAGTCAAGATGCAGGCCATTATATTTCTAGTTCTAGGTTATGTTTTTTCCAACTAGTTATGGATTTAAGTGGATGGACCTATTTCTAGGAGAAAGAAGATTTAAATACAAACCAAATAAACTCAAGCCCAACACTTTTATTCTTTCGGTCTGAAAGCCCAACACTTTGGATAGCATGGACTCTTGCACTGGGCCTTCTAAATTAAATATCAATTTGAGATTTTTTCTCATACTTGCTTCTTCCAGTAATTAGAAAGAAAATTCTGGACGAAATGCCAGCGTGGCAAAAATAGAGAAACCACAACATTAGCATATTTGAGAATAATCGAGAACCTCCCAAATTTGGCTACGTTCCTTCCCCTTAATGGAAAAAAATAAAGAAGCCACCAGAACCGTGTCCTCTCTATATATTGCATAAGATCATCACTAGACAAACATCTGCAACGTTGTTCTCGTACTAATCCTAAGTTACCCACTGTCTTCTACGAACCTATCTTTGTCGTTTGAATTTTAACGGCTGAAATTGAGATGGCAGAATCAGAGACCTTCGCATTCCAAGCTGAGATTAACCAACTCCTCGGTTTGATAATCAACACTTTCTACAGCAACAAAGAGATTTTCCTTCGTGAGATCATTAGCAATGCTTCTGACGTAAGTAACTACCTACCTTTACTCTTCAATTCATTTGGATTGCCGCATTTCATTTATTCAAATAATAATTGTATGACATGTGATTGTGTAGGCACTGGACAAAATCCGATTCGAGAGTCTCACGGACAAGTCAAAGCTCGATGCTCAACCCGAACTTTTCATCAGGATTGTTCCTGATAAAACCAATAAGACCCTCTCCATCACAGACAGTGGTTCTGGCATGACCAAAACTGGTAAGTGGTAATTAATATTTATATAATAACATGCGTTGTTTGTTCATCTGTTTTCTGTGGACTAATTTATCAAAATAGTCCTCAAATTACAAATTACTGAAAATTTTATTTTTTTAAATTCTGAAATTGCCATACTAAGTCTTGAAATTGATAAATATAGCCATATAGGGCATTTTAGTTTTTAGTATTATAATTTTAAAAGTTAAAATAACTGTTAATTTTAATTTTAAGGATTAAATTGATCTGTCATTGTAATTTTATGGGCTAATTTGATGAATTATTCGTATCATTAATGTCATGATTGAGCCTTCGAGTACCATCATTTGTATTTTGTAACATAATTTGTGGTTTGTGAATAGATTTGGTGAATAATTTGGGGACTATCGCGAGGTCTGGAACGAAGGAGTTTATGGAGGCATTGCAAGCTGGAGCAGATGTCAGCATGATTGGTCAATTCGGTGTTGGCTTTTACTCTGCTTATCTTGTTGCGGAAAAGGTTATTGTAACCACCAAACACAACGATGATGAACAGTATATTTGGGAGTCTCAAGCTGGTGGCTCTTTCACTGTTACAAGAGATGTCCATGGTGAACCATTGGGAAGAGGAACCAAAATAACTCTCTTTCTCAAGGATGATCAGGTGCGCATTAATTCCTTACCCTCCAAATAATGTAAAACATAATGTCTGTAGCATCTAATTTATTTCATGGTTTTTTTCATAAGGACCTATATATTTATAAATAAAAGAAACTATTTGTAGATCACGAATTAAATAATTATTTCAACTGAAAAGAGTTAGTTTAAACCAGGTTATACTGTCATAGTGTAATACTATTTTCTGAATAAATGTGTGGTTTTTTCTCTTGCAGTTGGAATACTTAGAGGAAAGGAGAATAAAGGATCTCGTAAAGAAGCACTCAGAATTCATTAGCTATCCTATCTATTTGTGGACTGAGAAGACAACAGAGAAGGAGGTGAGTGACGATGAAGAAGATGAAGGCAACAAGGAAAAGGAAGGGGACGTGGAGGATGTTGATGAGGAAAAAGATGACAAGTCCAAAAAGAAGAAGAAGGTGAAGGAAGTGAGCCATGAGTGGCAGCAAATCAACAAGCAGAAACCCATTTGGCTCCGAAAGCCAGAGGAGGTGACAAGGGAGGAGTATGCGGCTTTCTACAAGAGCCTCACCAATGACTGGGAAGACCATCTTGCTGTAAAGCACTTCTCTGTGGAAGGGCAACTTGAATTCAAGGCCATTCTTTTTGTTCCCAAAAGAGCACCCTTTGATCTCTTTGACACTAGGAAGAAGCTGAACAACATTAAGTTGTATGTGCGTAGGGTGTTCATCATGGACAACTGTGAAGAGCTGATTCCAGAATATCTTGGATTTGTGAAGGGTGTTGTTGATTCTGATGACCTTCCACTCAATATCTCCCGTGAAATGCTGCAGCAGAACAAGATTCTGAAGGTGATAAGGAAAAACTTGGTGAAGAAATGTATTGAGATGTTTTTCGAGATTGCAGAGAACAAGGAGGATTACAACAAATTCTATGACGCATTCTCCAAAAACCTTAAGTTGGGAATTCACGAGGATAGCCAGAATAGAGCCAAACTAGCAGACCTGCTTAGGTATCACTCAACCAAGAGTGGTGATGAGATGACCAGTTTGAAAGACTATGTGACAAGGATGAAGGAGGGACAGAAAGACATATACTACATTACTGGGGAAAGCAAGAAGGCTGTGGAGAATTCACCATTCCTTGAAAGGCTCAAGAAGAAGGGCTATGAGGTGCTTTTCATGGTGGATGCTATTGATGAATATGCTGTTACTCAACTGAAGGAGTATGATGGGAAGAAGCTCGTGTCTGCAACCAAGGAAGGACTCAAGCTGGATGATGAAACAGAAGAAGAGAAGAAGGAAAAGGAGGAAAAGAAGAAATCATTTGAGAACCTTTGCAAGACAATAAAGGAGATCCTTGGGGACAAGGTGGAGAAAGTTGTGGTCTCCGACAGGATTGTGGACTCCCCATGTTGCTTGGTCACGGGTGAGTATGGGTGGACAGCAAACATGGAGAGGATTATGAAAGCCCAGGCTCTGAGGGACAACAGCATGAGCTCTTACATGACGAGCAAGAAGACTATGGAAATCAACCCGGAAAATGGTATTATGGAGGAGTTGAGGAAGAGGGCTGAGGTAGACAAGAACGACAAGTCAGTGAAGGATCTGGTTTTACTCCTCTACGAGACTGCACTGCTGACATCTGGCTTCAGTCTTGACGATCCCAACACGTTTTCGGCAAGGATTCACAGGATGCTGAAGTTGGGTTTGAACATCGATGAGAACGAGGCTGGTGAAGATGCCGACATGCCACCGCTTGAAGAGGATAACGAAGAGAGCAAAATGGAAGAAGTTGACTGAACATGTTTATAGCATGCCGCTTCTATCAGTCAGTATGGCTTTGTGGGGATAGTCTCTATCGGATGTTGTAAAATTTAGTTTCTGAGAAGAGTTATGGTGGACGAGTTTTTAGCTTGCGTTTTTGTAAACTTTGATGTAACTAGTAAATATAAACCATAATAATAAAATCATATATCTTTAGTTATCCAATAAAATACATTTTGGATCGATGGGCTAATTTTGCTGCATTTATGTATTTTGGCCAAACTTGGTCACATTTTTACTTTCAAATAACTTTCCACTATGTGACAAAACTTGGCGTAAAATGCCACAACATGAATTCAAATCTCTTAGAAGTCATTCGGCCTGATGTTTTAACAGTCCACTTGAACCATTAAGCCCAAAGTTTAACAGTCTAGAATTTTTCTATGGGGGGAGGAGGACTAACCGTCTGCAAGAGCGCCTGCTATGCCTACTTGAACACTAAAATCAATCCAGAACTATAATTACAATTCTTCGTAACCAAAATAACAAGTAAATATTTTCGAGAGGCGCAAAGCAGCATCATTTTCAAAGTAGAGGATCGCCCGTAGAATTGTGAAATCCAGTCACGACTGTAAGAAATAAATCCTCCAGCGCAGGATTACTATTGCATGAATAAAAAAGGGTTACGTTCAAGCAAAGATTTATCAAGGGGTTCGTGTCCCATGCCTTTTTATGATTCAGGTTTACCACAAGGCATGAACAGGCATGAATAATGCATTAATGATTTTGTTTTACATCGTGGGCGAAGAAATTTGTTAAGTCCGAAATATGCATAATTGTGACGAAAGTATTTGAAGCTGGGCTCCAGTCATAACAAAAACGGGGAAGAAAGAAAAACAAGCTTGAGCAATTATGAGCCACAAGTTAGCAGAAACACTCGAACTTCAAAATCTTCATCGAATGAAAAACTGAATTTAAAGTAAAGTGTCATGCCCATAAAACAATTTATAGCAGAGGGAAACATATAATTGACTCCAACTACAGGCGCATTTTTCTAGAAAACTAAACAAAATCTAAAGCATAAAACATTATACTTAGGGAATATTTGAGCTGGTTGGCGCCCCAAAACCACCAGATCCCCGACCAAAGCCAGGCCTTCCGCCAGGACCCTGTAATATGGCAAAGCAATTGATTGAGGAAACAAAACCAAAAATAAAATAAAATAAAATAGAGGAGTGGAAATATATACAAAGCACTATTCTATACAGGAATCTGTTTCTACTAAAAATGTTCTATGCACTATGGCGCACACGAAAAAAAAAATTTTAAGCTCATGAAAACATAGTTATGAAAATTACAACTACACTGCTTCCCAGACACAACCACCATAACAGTAAAACACAAGCTTTCAAAAGGGCCATTTATGGACAAAGCTAATGGAGGAAGATAGCATAATTGCATTGCCTAAATGAGAAAAATACGGCATATGAACATGACGTGAATTGTTGTAGGGAAACCCAAAATCACAACTTACAGGATGCAACATTAGAAACAGAACTTAAAAGACACCGCGAATTCCTAAAAGAGTCAGGAACTCTGTTTCGGACTATCAATCACAAATAAAAGCCACACATCATGGGAAATTATAAACAAGTGGACAAAGAGACAGGTTAGATAACCTTCTCAATATGCACTCATAGGAACAGAAAAGAAAATAAATAAAAAACCTTGCACAAGTTAAATTAACTTGAACATCCAAATTTTTCAAAAGCTCCCACTTCTAACTTTTCCATAAACACCTATAAATAAGTGTTTTTTTTCTACGCTAGGAATCAAACATCTATCTCAGTTAAAAAGCTCTCATAAATCAGATGCTAATCCAAACTGAGCTAACATGCAAACCATTCCTCCCCACACGAGGCATTCTATACGTACATAACATATCAAACTCATCCAGTTTAATGAAACATAGCAAGCAAACAAAAAACAAAAACTATGCCACAAACAAATGACGAACAATCACAGTTACACTAAACAACAACAAAGTGCAGTGGCAATAAGATTACCCCAAAAGAGGGCCTATAATCAGCAGGAGCTCCTCCCTTGTCACCTCCAAAATCACCACCCGGTCCTCGAGGACCTCCACGGTATCCATCACGGTCACCGAATCTTCGTTCCCCTTCAAAACGCGGCGGTCCCCTGCTCAAAACGACACAAATTACAATCAGCCATGGAATCACATATTCACATAACACAGTCCGAAACAATTGTTAAAATAAAATACCTAGGGCGATCACCGGGTGGGCCACCAAAAGGCCTGCCAGGTGGCTTAGCTTGTTTCTTCAAAGTAGCAGGGACAATTTCGGAAGGAAGATTAAGGTAAGTTCTCAGAAACTCAATGCCGTCGTTGGTGAGGAACCAGTAATAGTGCATCCAAGCAAAGGTTTCCCTCACGTACTCCCTCGACTTGAAGCTCTGCATGAGCTTAATCACTTGCAGATTCGGCACGTCAATCTCCGGGTGCTTCGCCAAATTGAAGTCCTTCTTCGCATAGCAAACTCCCTCTGCATTTTACACGCTCATTAAATGCAAGATTCAATCAGATACAACCGTAATTAACGAAGATGCTTCGTTATACCTTGAAAGAGGTATTTGCAGATCTCTTTACGGTTTTTCTCCGGAATGATCTGAACAAATAAACACGCACATAAGCATTTGTATGAGAGAAAATTGAACAGAAGAACGTAAAAACGACGGAGAAATTGACAAGTTACCATGGTTTCGACGGGGAAGCGAAGGCGATGGGGGCTGGGAAACAAATCTCTGCCAATACTCCCACACTGTTATCCCTTTGTTGCCTACTTGCCAATAAACCCTAATTTCTCTTATTCCCTCGTTTTATTTTATAACGTGTTGCCCTTTTTTTAAACATAACCCGTTTGTTACCCTTTACTGATAGCGTTTTTGCCTTAACGGGCCTTTTCATGGGCTGCATTTGTTAATAATGGTATATGGGCTCATGGTATAATGGCTTGCCTTTTACAGAGAATGAGGGCTTGGAACGATCTAAGTAGAGAATGAAATCTAAGAATTTTGGCCCAGTAAATCAGTAAAAGACGATATTAACAAAAGGTTTTATTAATGACCGAAAAAATAAGTTTTATTTTTTACAGTTGACCAAAAAACCAGTTTTTACCAAAGATATACTTTCTATTATTCAGAAAATTTTTCTAAACCTATCATATTTTTATTAAGTTATTGCATATCGAGTAAAATTTACGATACTAAAGAAATAGTTTAATACTTTTATTAAATGAATTGTAATACTATGTATATTAAAATAAAAAAATATAAAACAAGTTAAATAATAAAAACTAATAAAATTAAAACTATTAATAAACCATAAATGATAAATAATATAAATAAAATATTACACTGCACTGATTTTGTTCCTATTTTAGATAAAATGAATAAATTAAAATAAAAAAATTAATTTCATCTAAATTAAATATAAAATATAGTTTGATGTGGCAAAAATTTACTTCAAATAGGGAATATTTTTTTTTATTTTAATAAATAGTTATTAAAAAATATTAAAAAAATTCATTAAGCCATATATGAGAGTAGAACAGATATAAAAAGGGAGAGTAACTAGTATTATGCAGGTTCAAAATGCATTATTCATCATTGAGCATATGTTATTTTTTTATTGAATTTATGTTCGGCAATGGTTTAAAAAATTATAGAGATAATATAACGATGTAAATCAATAGCATTAAAAAAACATATTATAATTAAATGTTTATTAAGAATATATATATATATATTTCAAATACGTCTCAAACACAAAAAAAGATGTAACATGCAGCTCAAGCATGAGAAGGGAAAATAAAACAAAAAAGTTAGTTATAGAGGCAGGACATGTGGCAAAGGATATAGAAGGGGCAGGATTAAGAAGAACTAATAGAATTTAGAGGAAGAATGTATATTTGAAGGATTTTGTGGCATAAGGAGGCATGGAAAATTTTGGTATGACTTTTTCCTTAATAATTCTTTTCTTCCTGAACTTCTCTCTGTCTACTTCTTCCTGATTTCTTCTAAAAATTCTTATTCTAGGTGAAGTTACTCAAAGGTTCAATTGTTGAGATCATTGCTGAAAATAGAATCGTGAATTGCAAATTGCATCTCGTTCATTGTTGTTATTTCCTTGTTATTCGAGAAAATTCTTAAAATACACATTATTACTTGAATTGGACTTGTATTGTTGATATGTAATATTAGTTTTGATTCACAATATCAGTTTGTTTCATTTGGCGCTTTCATTGACATCAATGGTTGAGAATACGTGTATGAAGGAGTTACAAACTCAGGTGGTGAATCATGGTGAAGAACTTTAAAGATTGATAAATCTGCTTAAACTTAAGGATCAAGCTCAACGTGATTGAGATCTCGCACAGAAGGAAGCTGCTACTCAGTTGCAACATATGACACACGAACATCTGGATTAGATGCAAATGATTTATTGGTTCAGAATCATTCTCAATCCTTTGGTGCTTTAAACTCAGACAAGGATTCATCGTTTCATGTGAAGGATATTTCACTTGGGTTTTCACATTTTAATAGAACCACACCAGTACTAGAATGGATTTTTAAGGCTAAAAAGTTCTTCAGTTATCACCAAACTCCGGATGCTGAGAGAGTGGATATCGCAGCCATTCATTTTGAGAAGGAAGTTGTTCTTTGGTTTCAAATGTTACAACGGTTGGATGCTATTAGATCTTGGAATAAGCTTACAACAACATTGAAATCGTAGTTTGGTCCTTCTCTATTTGATTGTCCAATGCAAGAATTGTTTAAACTACAACAATCAGGTACAGTTTCTGATTATTATCTCTGATTTATGGCGCTGGCTAATAGATCAAATGGACTTTCTGCGAAGGCTTTATTAAAATGTTTTATAAGTGGATTGAATCAAGATATTCGTAGAGATGTTATTGTCCAATGCCTTGCTACTATAATCAGAGCAGTGTCCTTGGCCAAGTTATATGAGGAGAAATATGCACTAGGGAGTTATACACAAAGTTTCAATTATACTCAGAAATATTCAACTATTTTCTCTAATAATATTGGCAGTGTTTCAATGAGGCAAAATGCATCTAAAGCTTCTTTACCTCCCTTGTTACCCACGCCTACCATAAATTCTCTTAGAAATACTAATATGAAAAAGATATCTCCTGCAAAAATAAAGCTGAGGAGGGAGAAAGGCCTATGTTATTTTTGTGATGACAAGTTCACTTTTAATCACAAATGTCCTAATAGGCAATTTTTGTTATTACAAACTGAGGAAGATGAAGTGGACAAGGAATTGTTGGTCAATAAGGAGAATATGGTGTTCCTTCATAATAATAATAAATTCATGGAGGCAGATCACCTTTGTCCTTGAACGCTTTAAACGGAGGTTTGGGAGTTAGTACTATTTGATTCATGACTATAATCAACAACTTACCTATCAAAGTATTGGTGGATAGGGGAAGTTCTGATAATTTTCTTCAGCCAAGGATTGCTAAATTCTTGAAATTGCCTATTAAACCTGCTCCTGCACTGACAATTATGGTTGGAAATGGAAATTATATGGCTACTAAGGGAATGATTAAATATTTGTGCATTCAGGTACAGGAAAACAACTTTAATTTTCCTGTATTCTTGTTGCCTGTGTCCGGAGCTGATGTAATTGTTAGAGCTTGTTAGTTGAAGTCTATAGGACCCCATATTCTAGATTATGACGTATTACAATTGAAATTTATGCATCAAGGCAGATTTATTACCTTACAAGGTGAGGTTGAAGTCTTCCCTACACAAGCCCACTTACATCATATTAAAAGAATGATTTATACTGATGTTATTGTTGAGGTCTTTAGTAAGCAGGTAATTGAACCAAACTCTCATCCATTTCCATTATTAGAATTGCCAGTGACATGAAACCTAAATTGGCTTGGTTGTTTCATACTTATAGCTCTATTTTTGGTACACCTACATCTTTTCCACCTCCGAGAGCTCATGATCACTCTATTCCATTAATAGAAGGATCTAATCCTATAAAGGTCAAAACATATAGATATATCATAGCCAGAAGGAGGAGATTGAGAAGTTGGTTAATAGAATGCTTGAAGAAAGTATAATCCAGCCAAGTAAGAGCCTTTTTTTCATCCCCAATTCTTCTTGTTAAGAAGAAAGATGGATCATCGAAGGTTTGTACATATTATAGGCCCTTAATGCAATCACTATTAAGGACGAATTTTCTATACCTATAGTGGATGAACTCATTGATGAACTATATGGTGCTTCATTTTTTTCTAAGTTGGATTTAAGGTCTGACTATCATCAAATACTATTGAATCCTGACGATAGACATAAAACAACATTTATAACTCATCATGGGCATTATGAATGGCTTGTCATGCCATTTTGGCTCACTAATGCCCCTGCCACTTTTTAGAGCTTGATGAATGATATTTTCAAAGGGTTGCTAAGAAGGTTTGTACTAGTCCTTTTTGATGACATATTGGTATATAGTCTAGGTTGGAAGGAACATTTGTTTCATTTAGAGGTGGTACTACGAATATTACAATAACACCAATTGTATGTTAGGTTTTCAAAGTGCTCCTGTGGTGTTAAGGAAGTTGAATACTTGAGACATGTGCTGTCTGGAAACGGAGTGGGAATGGATAATAGTAAACTTAAAGCTGTGAAAGAATGGTCCCAAGCAAGAAATATGAAACAATTGAGAGATTTCTTGGGTTTTACTAGTTATTATAGGAGGTTTGTGAAAAATTATGCTTTGATAACTGCCCTTTTAATTGACTTACTAAAAAAGGACTCATTTAAATGGTCTGAGGTTGCAGCAAAAGCTTTTGAACACTTGAAAGAAGTTGCGACATCTGCTGTTGTCTTAGCCATCCCTAACTTCGAAGAGTCTTTTATCCTAGAAACTGATGCTTTGGGATTGGGAGTTGGAGCTGTCTTGAGCCAAGGTCAACATCCTATAACATATTTCTCTAAGAAGTTGTCACCAAGGATGCAAAAGCAGTCAGCTTATATCCAAGAATTCCATGCAATTACTCAAGCAATGGCCAAGTTAAGGCATTATTTGTGGGGGTACATATTCATAATTCGAACTGATCAAAAGAGTTTAAAAGAATTGTTGGATCAGACTCTTCAAACTCCATAACAGCAGCAGTGGTTATCTAAGTTTTTAGGTTACGATTTCTCCATACAATACAAACCTGGTAGGGAAAATATCCCTGCGAATGCATTATCTAGAAGCTTATTGATGGCTTGGTCCGAGCCTACTGTTCAATGGTTAAAGCAGGTGGCTGAGCTCATTTTGGAAGATGACAACTTGAAGGTAATCCATGATCAATGCTACAAGGTACCAATTTAGATCTAACATATGTGTTGAAGGATGATATGTTGTTTTGGAAAGGTAAATTGGTCATTCCGGCTAATGATGACATGAGGACTCAGATTGTGAATGAATTTCACTAATATAAAGTAGGTGGTCATAGTGGGGGGACTAAGACAATTGTTAGGATATGCTCTCAATTTTTCTGGACTAAAATGCGACAGGACATTAGAGGATTTGCAAGAAATTGAAGCATTTGTCAACAAGCTAAGGTGGATCAAACTTTACCTACTGGATTACTTCAATCTCTTCCCATTCCTCAACAGATTTGGAGTGATATTGCCATGGATTTTATAACTAAATTGTCTAATTCTCATGGATTTTCAACTATCATGGTTGTTATGGATAGACTCTCAAAATTTGGTCATTTCATTCCTCTTAAGGCTGAACTTAATTGTAGACTGGTAGCGAAAGCTTTTATTAACACGGTGGTGAAAATTCATGGATTTTCTAATTCTATAGTGTCAGATAGAGATAGAGTATTCATTAGTTTATTTTGGCAGCAATTGTTTAATGCTCAAGAAACTACATTGGCTATGAGTTCTTCATACCATCCTCAAAGTGATGGTCAAATCGAGAATCTTAACAAGATGTTAGAGATGTATCTTAGATGCTTTGTATTCGATAATCCAAAATTATGGTACTCCTTGTTGCCTTGGGCATAATTTTGGTATAATACCTCATTTCATCACAGTGTTGACATGTCACCTTTTAAAGCTATTTTTGGAAGAGACCCTTCTATTGTTATTCCTTATGAAAAAGATTCTGGTGAACCAATGAACTTTCAAGAGACCTTAAAGGCTATAGATACAAGCTAATAAAAGGAGGAAGGTTTTCAGTTAGAGGTGGAAGATCTTGCATTGGTTAAATTGTAACCTTATAGGCAATATTCAGTGGTCTTACAGAGAAATCAAACGTTAGGCATGAGGTTTTTTGGGCCTTTTGAGGTGCTGCAGCGGATTGGGACAATAGCTTATAAGCTCAAGCTACTAGAATCATCTAAAATACATCTGGTATTTCATATTTCTTTGTTGAAGAAGTTTAATGGAGAGTGCTCGCAAAATATTTTTCTCTTCCATTGGGAACTACAAAAGTTGGACCATCAATACAACCCTTACACATGTTAGATGTTAGAGTAGTAATGTATAATTCTCAGTTGAAGGAACAGGTGTTGATACAAGGGGATATTGGAGGGCCAGAAGATGCTACTTGGGAAGACATGGAGGTTATTCAGTCCTTCTATCTTGCCTTCAACTTTGAGGACAAGGTTGATTTTAAAGGGAAGAGTATTGTAACATGCAGTTCAAGTGCAAGAAGGGAAAATAAAACAAAAAAGTTAGTTACAGAGGCAGGACACGTGGCAAAGGATACAGAAGTGGCGAAATTAAGAAAAACTAATAGAATTTGGAAGAAGAACGTATATTTGAACGACTTTATGACATAAGGAAGCATGAAAAAATTTGGTATGACTTTCTCCCTGATAATTCTTTTCTTCCTAAGCTTTTCTCTTTCTACTTCTTCTTGATTTCTTCTAAAAACTCCTATTCTAGGTGAATTTATTCGAAAGTTCAGTTGCTGAGATCATTGCTAAAGATAGAATCATGACTTTGAAATTATAAATTTGAAATTGCATCTCATTCATTGTTATTTGAAAAAGTTCTTAAAATACACGTTATTACTTAAATTGGATTTGCTTGTTGATCAGTAATATCAATTTTGATTCACAGTATCAGTTTGTTTCAAAAGATGTCTAAAACGTCTCCTTTCAATAATAAAAAAAACATTTGTAATTTCTCAAATCCCAAAAATCGTTCATACAGTTTATATATATATGGTGTGTGAAAATGTTTGTTATTGCCCTCATAATCTACCAATATATTGTGAGTGGCTGATTTGCACTCCTAACCGTCCATACAAGGCATCTATATTTGAGATCCAATAAATCATATAAAATCACTCCCAAATAAAAGAAAACAAAAGTGATTGTATTTCAAGGGACAAAAGTGATTGTATTTCAAGAATGTCAATGGGTGATGGAGCCTCCACTTTCCTTGCTCAAGCTGCTTCCATCTTAATCACATAAGACCCCACCTATTCCCACACATTCAGCCCAACCCCAGTTAACCATTCACGATGATAGTATATCCCTTTTCAATGGTTGATTAATTTTTTTGCATGCTTTAAACTCCTATTTATTTAAATAATACTGAAAAAACCTTTTAAATATGATAATTCAATAAATTTAAGATTATGTTCTTATTGAAAAAAATTACTACACACTCTACTTTACATTAAGATGAAAAATTATATTTATTGAAATTATTGTAAACAAAATTCAATGTAAAATGAAGAATATCCCAAGTAATTGTGACTCAAACTAGACTTAAGTAAGGCATTAATTTGGTGTATTGAGTTAGATGGTCTTACGAAAAAGCTAGCCAGTTTTTTCCAGTTCTACATCAACAATGGTCTGGAACCCAAAATCATATCCAAACAAAAATTATGACTTTACCAAACATTATAAAGTGTTTGGATGAGGATTTATAAACTTAATTTCAAGTGATATTAATTTTATAAATTTAATTTTAGCTAACATTAAATTTGAAATTAAATAATTTACATAATTTGGAAACTTTTTGACCTTAAAATAAAAATTATAGTAATATTGAATATAAAATTCCTAACCTAATGAAAAAATATTTTTTTTGGCGATCGTGCTTTTAAGAGAAACTTTAATTTTAGTTTGCCAAAACTAAAAATGGAGAAAATATAAAAGCACATTTGAAGCACTTAAAAATGTGAGTTTGGAGTCATACAGCTATTCCAAACACTATTATTTGTGCATAAAATTCACTTTGCATTTTCTAAACCAAGATTTGTAATTTGCAAAATTATTATTTAAACATGCACTAAATAATATTTAATAAAAATACAATGAATGGCTATTGCTACTGTTGATTTAACCAAATCAACCCGCCACTGTGAAGAGGGAAACTGGGAAAGTAATGAATGCATGCACAGCTTTAGCCAGAATCTCTTTTTATCTCGCTTTTGCGTTTGGAGTTTTCGGGACTTGGGAATTGGGGGACATGCATGTGATAAGTCAATGTTTTCTCACTTTTGGTCTTTTCCACAGACAGGTTGGTGGTACATAAAGACATGGAAATGTAAAGAGCGAAAACCCATTATTGTCGTTCAAAAAACCACTACACAGTCAACTAGATGGCAAATGGAAGATGCTTTGCTTTACATACTTTCAAAATCGAACTACAAAACGACATGGAAATGTAAAGGGGGCAAAACCCATGCATTATTATCATTCAAAATCCACCACATGTACAGTCAAATATGTAGCAAATTGAAGACACTTTACATATCTTCCAAATCAAACTTTTGCTCCTAGTTGCAATCACCTTTATTTTTTCCCTCTTCCCACGTCAAAACACCCAATAAACTTCACGCATGGTTACATATAATATACATATATATCTTACCTTCAATTCACTCACATTCACAATCTTTACAAATCAGCAATCAAAAGAGAAAAAAAAAGGTACATCTCTGGAAGTTTCAGAAAGCCGGCTGGACCATTTGATGAAAATGTCTTCCTTACTAGTTAGAGAGGTCATAAGAAGGGAGGGGGAGAGAAAGAAAGAAAGAAAGAGTGGGGACAGTTTTCACAATCATTTTATCTCACAAAGATGAAGGAAAAGGTGAAAGTGTATTTGCTTCCACATTTGATGAATTTGGTGCTAGTTCTTCCCCACCAAGCTGTCCTTCAACACTGTCCCAGAAAACAAAGTTTGGACATTGTTGCTGCGTTTCTACCCATTCATTTAACTCTTGCCTCTGCAAGCACTCTAGTGCTATATCTCCTTGCTCATCCATACTACAAGATTGTACCTCAATTGGGACCATGTTTTCCACGTTTTCTATCAATGGTGGCAAATAATTTGTGGTGTCCAAGCCTACAGTGACTGTAAGAGGGGGAAGTGCTTGAACTTGATGGTGGTTCAAGTTCCATGTTTCAGAGCTAAAACCCATAGCTTCTTGGAAGTGTTCAGCTCTTACAGTACTATTGGCGTCTGTTGCTGTCCCTAGTAGTGAACTAGTATCAAACATGAACACAGGACATGTGGAAGAAAATGAGGTTTCTTGAACTGGTGGCTTTGCTGTTAGATTATCTTGGTTGGCAAAGTGATCTAGGATATTGGAATTATAATTGAACTGGGAATTGTGATCGATCCTTTGTGCTATATTGGTGGTTGAAGACACCGAAGGCTTTCTTATTTTCTTTTTAATCCATGAGTTCCAATAGTTCTTTATTTCATTGTCAGTTCTACCAGGCAAGTGGCTTGCAATGTGTGCCCATCTGCATTTACCAAATTCAATAATTAATCAAAGACCATAGTTTAGATAAAAAAAAATGTAACTTAATTTAAATGCTTGGAATGGGGATTTGTAGATATAAATTACATAAAATCATGATTTGATTAAGATAACAATTTAGTTGCTCAAAAAATTTTCGAGAAGTGCATGCACGCATGCTATATGTTCAGACTGCATGTGAAGAAGGTAGAAGGCTAGGAGCCTAGGGGCAGAGGCCCTAAAAGGAAAATGTGTAATGTACCACTGGAAGGAAACATTTGTTCCTTTGTGTTTGAGAATGTATTTTTAGGATGTGTGCAGAAAAAAAAAGTAAAAATTAGAAATATTACACACTGAAAGTAGAAAAAATATATATATCGATTGATAGAATTGTTTGCTTAACTTTTAATTCTAAGTCTGAAACTCAGAGGTTGATAGCTCCTTTAGATAGAATTAGAAAGGAAAATGTTTTTCTTTCTAGCAAAATGGGACAAATTATGTTGTTTTTTTTCCCCACTCGAGAAGTGTTTATGAAATGCGTGTACATAAATAAAAATAAGAGATAAAAAAATTAAATATATTGTACTGCGTCATTTTATTTTTACAACAATGTCTTTGTTTATTATTTAAAATTAGAATCAAATTAGAAATAAGACGATTTACTTCTTAATTAAAATAAAAAATAAATTAAAAAATTAGTCCTAATTTTTAATATCAACCTTGTAATATTAGTTATTCAAGTGAAATTTTAATTGTGATCGGAGAATACTAAAACTCAAAATTCACTGCATATATACCCTTAGAAATATATAGCTTATAATAAGCTCTAATGGTTTGTATAGATATACAATGGGTATAGAACTAACAAGAAGTCAAATGTTGTCTTTGCAAGTAGTTTACAAGCTGCTCGATTTCGCATTCGATCAATACAAAAAATTAATCAATATTTATTCCAAGTAAAACTCAACCAGTTCATGCTTCCCAAAATTCATGTATCTGTAATTAATTTGGAACTTGTCCGGTTGAGAGCCATAGAACCCTTTCTTGGCCTACGAGAGAGCTATTAAACTCAACTAAACTAAACACAGGCTGATGCCATAGGACCTCAAAAAGGGTTTATATATACGACACTCATACAGAAAATGCAACAGAAGTTAAGAAGGGAAGAGTTGAACTGATTATAAATCAAAATTCGCGTTAGAGCACTGTAGCTAGGGTGTAATTCAAACCTGTTGCCTACGACCCCGTGAAGGCTTATAATTAACTTCTCCTCCTCAGGTGTAAATCTGCCTCTTCTAATATCAGGCCTCAAATAATTAATCCATCTCAAGCGACAACTCTTGCCACATCTTTGAAGCCCTAAAAGCCAAGCACATATGAGAAATATATATTACATATACAAATAAAACGCCTGTAGTCTTTTAATTCAATTAAAATCAATAATTGAGGGTTGTTCTAACATCAACAAGAAAAAGGAGCTCGTGAAAAATAATAATTGAAAAAGAAAAAGAAGAAGAAGAAGAAACAAAAAGCGAACCAGCTTTCTCTGGAACTTCACTCCAACAACCATAGCCATGAGTAGTAATGTATCTGATGAGTTTCTCATCTTCCTCAGGGGACCAAAGGCCTCTCTTAACCTTCTGTTGGTTGCAGCAAGAATGGTGACCCATATTTCTAGGCCTCTTGCTATGTCTCCTTCTTTTGCCTTCTTCTTTAGTCTTGTTCCCTAAGTGGCTTGTATTGCCTGGATCAAATATGGATTTGTGTGCAATAGTTAGGACTCTCTTTCTTCCCTCCTTTAAAAGTGAGGGAAGTACATGCCCTAGCCGACATACGTTCAGAACCTGATGGGGTCCATGCAAGGGACCCAGATCTCCATCTAACCCTAAAATGACATTCCATCAACTTAACTCTAGCTAGCTATTGATTAGTGTGTAACCATTTTCTACGTACATGTGCGTGGTATTACGTAACCAAACCTCATCATATACCACTATAACTAAATCCCCTCTCCACATCGTTCCTTGCAACCCCAAAAATAAGAAGAAAAGGAGAGGCCGAGAGAATAATATCATTGCCGGTTGTTCATGATCATGCACCTCCTTCTCCCTGTCTGCAACTATACAGCATCGTCATGACATCAAGAGCAAGTGGATTCGCTTTGTGAAAATGACGGCGACGATTATTTGGACTTTAACACCAGGTTAATCATCACAATAGTTTCATTAATTTATATCAACACCCAAAATATGTTTGAATAGTTTCTCACAACAACAACAAAATTTAAGGTTTGTGAAAGTTACTATGTGGAGTAAATAATTATATTTTAAATAAAATAATAGTTAAAATACTATATTAAAAATTATATTATTTTCATAAATACTTTTTAATAATTTATTTAAATCAAAATTCCAAAATATATACACTTACAAAAAATGACCTTTTACACTTTTTTTGATAAAAATATATGTATATTTGAGAGTAGATTGCTAATAATTTTTTTATATTATTGTTTGTGTTATTCGTTTTTTCTTAATTTGTTTCCCTTTCTACAGGTCTTCTTTCTACCAATATAACCCATAGGGGAATGTACGGTAATAATTATTCAATAATTACTACAGCACAATAAGTCTTCCATATCATTTTTCTCCCATCAAGTCTTTACTGATGTTGGAATTAGTTAACAGGTCATGCACATAAATCGATCCCTATTAAAAAAAATGATGTAAAATATAATTAGTGTGCAAAAAGCGTATCACCTGTATTCTATTCATAAAGGGTGTCCTTTTTTTTACTTATACATTTCATACGAATCGCAAAGAACTAGTCAAAATAAAATAGGAACGGACGGTTTAACTTAAGGGTAAATGACAAATTATTGTTATCAAATTTGAATTTTTAGGGAAACATTTAATAATTTTTTTAATATTTTAAGTACATAATTATAATTTGAGCTTCGTTCAACTTTAACTTTCGATAATAAAACATATTTGGGATGAAACAAAAATAAACTTAATAGTGAATTTGGGTTTATACATGAATATAGAAATAACGCATTGCTAATACAGTGTTAAAATAGATAATTATTTAAAAGTAAAATTTGGAGAATATTGGTCAAAAGTCTAAAGTTTAACCATGACATCTTTGTCACTCTAATTTGAGAAATTCAACTTCAACGTGATTAAATAGGATTTAATAAGCCAGTAATTTAATTTTTACTTAATTTTAAACTCATACTAATTACGTGAATAATCGAGATGTTAATATTAAAAAATCTGTGACATAAAAATTTGAAATTCAATCAAATAAATTTAATTGTTAGGGCTAGTAATTGAGTTTACTTAAGTCCTTTCCGACAACTCCGAGTTGAAGTTTATCTGCACGGCAGTTGAAAAAAACAAAAGATAACTACCCTATTTCCTCGACATCACTGATCATTTATTTGCTGATTGATCACATTAAACATATGATTGTTTTGTTGGTTTGCATAAGCATGTAACTGTGAGCTTTAAAGATGGAATAAGTGTCTATAATATAATAAGTATACTTTTGATTTAAAACTAAATAAACATTTTATTATTTTCAATTTACAAATAAAATCACTTTAAAATAACATTATTTTACGTTTTTATACGTGGTTTATTTTAAGGAATATATACTTAACTATTTGTTTTTTTATTTTAAAATTTTTAAGAATTTGTATTATATATCCAAACTTAACTATTTGTTTTTTTTTATATATAAAGAGACAACAATAATTAATAAATATTGACACAAATGATTTTTGGTTCATTAAACGTAACCGATTAAAGTTTGATTCCTATCAATGTACATTTAAAAGATAGGCCGTACCAACTTTAATAACCATTTGTTGAAAGATATCTTTGCGTCAAAAGAACAGGTAATGATGTCAAATTAGACAAATAAATAAAAATAAATTTTAATATATTATATATTTATAAATGAAAAGTCTGAAACAGAATTTGCTTGATGCCAACATAATATCTGGGTTAAAAATATTTTAATCTTAATTAATCCTAGTTTATATTTAATTTTAAAATTTAACACATAATATTAATAAATTTAACATGTCTTAATTAACTCATATATGCAACACCGAAGATGACGTGTCTTTGTCATTATTTAATAATAGTTTTTTATTTATAAATTTTCTTATATCATATTTATGTGTAAAAAAACTTTTAACCTTTTACATTTTTTTATAAGTAAACAAAATAATAGTCTTTTATTTTAAAAAAATAAACAAAATTAATACCGTTATCAATTTTCCTTTATTTCAAACTCTCAAATTCTCCCTTTTTTTAAGTTAAAATCTTCGTAAACTTAATTGATTAATGGTTTGTTTGCTTGGATGATACAAAAGTTACACATCAATTTCTAGGATAGAATCAATGGAAACAGTATTTTGTGCACGCTTTATGAAGTACTTCTAGCAGCAATGATTTATTTCAATTTTGTAGGAATAAAATTGCTTGGTTTCTAAAGCATAAATGGTTTAGTTTCAAAGCTTCCTTTTCATTTAAAATTAGTGAAATTTTTGGTCCACTGCACGTATATTATTAAATTAAAATATTTTTAAAATATTATATAAGTTATTTTTATATTAGATAAATATTGTAATTTTTAATATATTTATTGTTAATAAATATTTTATTGTATTAAATACAAATAAATTACAAATCTATATAAATTTTTAAATTAATAAATATAGGATATTCAAATTTCAAAAGTTTAATCATGATTGAATTTTTTTAAAAAAATCTCAATATAAATAGAGGTAGAATGAAGAAACAATTTATCACTAATATAATGATAACAGGACTTGAATTTAATATGGAAATGTAATTTCACTAAAACATCAAATTTCACTCAAAATAAAGGAAACAAAAGTTATATGTTTTTCTCTTTAACCTTAATTTTATATCCTATGAAATTTTTTGATTTATTATTAAAATTATTAACTTACAAACTTTTAACATTATATTAAGGTTATTGTTACAGTACTTCTAAACTTAAGAGTATTAAATATTTTTTCTAAATTATATTAAGATATTAAAAGATAATTGTATTTTTTTAAAATACACTACTCACTCTACTACTAAAATCAACTGTTACAATTATTTTACATATAATAAAAATATAGAATACCTCCACATTTTCCACAGCACCATAGAATTTACCTTATAATTAATTCATTTTAAGAATATAAATATTCAGATAAATAAATAAAAGTATATATAAGAGAAAATAAATAACAGTGGCAGAATGTATACTTTTTATATGAATAATTTTAGACTTGTTTACTCTATTTTGATATACCTCTTAATTAATAAATAAAAAATATTAAATATATTCTGTATTTTAAATGATAAATATATTTTTATTTAATATCTATTTTATAAAATTAAGTTATAAAATATAACAAACTGATCTCATATGTTTAGAAAGAATTCTACATTTCAGTTTTTCGTTAATCCACAGAAAATTAAATTCGTTGCTTTTAGATTTAAGCAAGCCCAGTTATTTGGACTTTATTGTGTTTCAACTTAATTAAGAATGAAAAATATAACTTATGAATTTTGTGTAAAATAACGTCCACAAGTAACACGATTGACGTCAACAAATAGCCTTAACGTCTCTATAAGATATTAATTTCAGTTTGAATACCTTGCTAAATTCTCAATTCAATATACTCTTAATCTTACGATAAAAATTGTTATATATGTAAACCTTTAAAGTTTGTTAGTCAAGTTAATTTGTATCTTTAGCTTAATCATTGTTTTGTTTGGTTATATGTTTTAAATTTTTTAAAAAGCAATATAACTTTTCAATCTTATATTTTTTTTTTATTTTTTAAATATTAATATCACAAGATAAATTTAAGCCGGACAAAAAATTTATTGTTTTTCATTTTTTGATATATTGCTTATTATTTTCAACTCAAAAATTGGCTAAGAATGGCAATAATGACAGCCTAAAACAACGATAAAAGTGGCCATAATAATAATAATAATAATAATTTATGAGAATTATTAGAAGTGATACATCCGATATTTGTGTGTTTTATTATAGTATAATTTAGGTATTTATTTATAGCATAGCATTTGAAAAGGTTGAGATTTTTTGAATTAATAATATATCCTAGAAAAGCAATAATGATTGATGATATTAACACTTTTGCAGCAATTTCAACTCTAATAAGACCAGCACTCATGTTGCTCGGACCTGTGGACCACTACAGCAGAGAAGCAGTGACTTAAAAGTGGAATTGGGGGTGTATTGATGACTGTGATTTCGATAATTAGATGTACAAGCTTATTGCCAGGTCCACTTTAATCACTTATAACCACACAGACGCAAACACTAGAATCACATTTTATTTCTTGAAAGGTGAAAAGTGCTTTTCCTTACTTTACTTGATATTTGGGAACGGATTATTTATTATTAATGGCTATTCATTTCTTATTCAACACAAGAATAAATAACATGTGGTTAGGAGAAATACACCTGGTGAGGCCAACAAAATTAGTCTTGAAATTAAAATTTAAAACATTGATTCTCATGTGTAACCAAACAGGTAGGCTATAAAGGGGCGTGATATCGCGTTTCAATGATACCTCTGTGGAAAGGGCCTATTAGTTATGGAGGTGAGATCATGTTGCTATTTCACAGTGACACTGCCTCTTAAAGCAAATCCATGCATGAACTACCTTATTACTCTCCTTCCTGCAG